AAGGTAAGATTATTTGTTAACAAAAAAAAAAAAAAAAAAAAAACATTGTAACAACCAAAACTCGAACCTGTATCTTTTCCAATATAGAGGAGAAGGTAACAAACCATTAGAACCACTGCCTGTGACTTTCAATAATGTTACATAATATTATATTTATTTATATTCACGGAACAGGTGGTTTGCACAATTTAACCGGTTAAACCGGTCAAACCGATTCAAAACACTGGTTTGTGGGTCCTCATTGAAACCTGCCAGTGCCTCTGCATGTGCAAAGGCGGCAAGGCTTCATCATCCCCGCTGGCACTATGCCTCTCTCTTTCCTTCACGTTCACCTACAACTGTATTATGTGATTCAGTAGTACCTTCTTCACCATCACTCGCTGTTTCACCCACAACCCAGAGCAGTTTCGAGCTCATCCCAACTGGGATGGACTCAAGAACTCTCCTTGATCGAGTTCTGTTTCAGCTCATCCCAACACGAACCAGGTACACTGCAGCATTCATGTGTAATAAGAATGCATTCTTCTTTCTCTTTGTGAGTTTGCTTTTTTTTCTTTTTTTGAAATTTAAGGATTTCACTGAATTTTGGATTTTGAACTTTTGGGTGTTCTTGTTTTGGATGTGAAAGATTTGATCTGGTGCTCCTGTAAGGGCAAGAATGAGAAGCTTGATTCTGGACTTTTTGAGCCTTTCATTTCTCACCTCAAAGTTGCAAGAGATGAGATTTCAAAAGGAGGGTACTCAATTTCTCTGCAGCCACCGGTCCATAAATGCTGCCTGGTTCACCAAAGATGCCCTTGAAAGGTAAAAATGCTTCACTGAATCTTATGTGTCTCTTATTTTTGGGTAATTGAGAGAATATCATCAATGTCATGAAAGTTAAGATATTTTTCAAATTGTTCTTGAATTTGATACGCTCTCTGTACTTCTGGAAATTGCAAGTAATTCTTGAGCAATTTCTTACTTCTGTTTATTGAAATTATTGGAATTTTATGTGTCTTGCTTGAGAGTGATTTTTAAATTGTGCTCATCACTCTCTAGATTAAATCAACTCGTGAATGTGAGGCTAAGCCTATCATTGCTGATACAATTCCTCCAGGGGCATTATGATTTTTGGCTGGATGATATTGATGGATAGTGAACAAGTGAACCAATTGGTTATGCCAAATTATTTAAAGATCTCAACTTTGCCTTTGAATTGCTGAATCAAGTGATGAGTTGTGTTTGGCATTTAGTTTAATTCTTGCACTGTCTTTGATTGGCATGAATTAAATCAAGTGCTAAAATTCAATGATAAAGCTCTACAGATTTGTTAACTCAGTTGATTTTGTTTATAACTGAGTGCGTGGAAGCTTGAAAAGACACTGATTATGAGTGCTGAATGAAACCATGATATAGCTTTGAACTATAACTGAGGAGGGTAACTCCTGAATTCATTTTCCTCTTTGGTAGATTTGTTCTGTTTGTTAGCACACCTGCAGTTCTTGAATGGTTTGGCAGCTTAGAAAAAGAAATATTGCAAATTGAGAATTCTGTTCTAACTAATGATGTTTCAAAGACTGATTTGGATGGAAGGCAGGAGGAAGGTATGCTGAAGACTCTAGACTTGAAACATTATCAGCAAAATTTTCCATACATGCAGAAATAGCCTTTTTGTTCATTAATCATGGTTCTATGAACCACTAAATTAACTAAACTCATTTACTAATTAACTTTTCTTTTCTATCAGAACATTGATCAGTTGCCAATGGATATATGAGGGAGCCCAGTAATTCCTCTAAGGTATTCGATTTTCTTTTGCAAACAGTGTAGAATAAGAGTAATTTGTTTCCAGAAATATGCATCTTTACTTTGAATTGTTCTGTGCTGCTGCCAGTTAAAAGGTGAACTTGATAGAAAAGAAACCTTGCCTGAAGAAAATTCCAGTAACACATCTTATCCTTAAAATGATTACATTTGGTAAATACTGGTTTTTAGTCTTAGTGTGGTTGATATCAATATCTGAATAAATTAGTTGTTGTTATGACAAGGGTTCAACTTCGCCGGCTTCTGGAAACTCAGAAAATCTTGCTCCGGAAAGAGCAAGCAATGGCTTATGCTCGTGGGCTGGTTGTTGGATTTTCAGTGGAAAATATGGATAATCTGACCTTCTTTGTTAATGCATTTGGAGCATTGAGGTTTAGGTACAAACTGCTATTAATTCATATACTTTAATATTTTGTGAACAAGAACAATAAAGGAGGCCAATATTATACAGGGAAAGGTCAGGAATAACAGATCTTACACATTTTCCCATTGGTTTCCTTCTCTCTTCCTCTTTTACTAAGATATTAAGATTCTGCATTTTTAATATATTACAGGTTTCTTGTGTAGGGTTTATAGAAAAAAATACTGTTTTCCATTTCTAAGTTTATGGTCAGAAAGGATACAGTTTCACTGCTCAAATCTTCTTAGCCATTTGTTTATATTTGTATCTTGATGCAAGAAGGGATAAATGCTGTCTTGCTCATATTGCTAAATATCTTGGCTGTTTTTAATGTAATGGTATATTAGTCCAAGTAACTAGTATACAAAAACAAAAATAGCAGATCTTACACATTCATCCCGGGTTATGAGTGAAGTTAATAAGTTGCTCATTGCTTGAAATTTTATTTGTCACTACTAAGCATAAGCATACTAGCAGATGGATTGAGTGCTTTGGGTATCAGAAAGTATCATGTACCAATGTTCTTGCTAAAGGAAGTGGTTTTTTTAATTTTTCTTTTCCCTTTTTCCCCTTTCTGACAAGCAGCCCATTCAAGCTCTTAAACTCGAGTATTTATTTTATGCAGGGAAGCATGTGCTAATTACATTGAATTATGCAAGAAAAAGCACGCAGATCAACTTTGGATGGCAGAACTAGCAGCTGTGAAGGGGTGCTCACTGGCTGAACTCTCATTATTGGATACATCTGACATTGTACTTACAAATGAATCTTTGGATGCACTAAAGTCTCACCCAATAACACAACCAGCAACTTTGGACTCCACAAAAGGTAGTTTGTGGTTTTTGCTTCCCTTTTCTTCATTTTGCTAGAAGGACATCCATAATATCCCAAAGTACTCTTATCTGATAGCTAAGACCATTACATGCTGTTAATAATTTTCCTGCATCAGTTCATCAGACACCATCAACTGCTCCAAAATATCAGTTGCTGATGCCATGGCCAAACCAGATCCCCCAATACATATACAACTTTCCAGGTCTTGTTCAACAGCTGCCTTCATATCAAGGATATTCTTTCCCTCCCATGCAGCCTGTCCTTCTTCACTATCCAAGGAATGCACATAAGCCTACCAATAAGGGTTGGGAGTCATCTTCAGGAAAAAAGGAGAAATCACTGAATGGAAAGGAAGATGAATATTCAGGAGAAAATGGACAAACTGAATCTAGTGCCTCTAACTCTGGAAGTGATTCAGGGTCACATAAACTTAGGTGTGACAAAAATCAATCACCAGATCATTCATCTAGAAGAAAACACAGGAATAAATCATCAAGAACAATTGTTATTCATAATATTGACTATATAACTCCTAAAAGGAGAGATGGAGAAAAATGTCAAGTTTCTGATGGATCCTCTTTAGATGAGGATGAGTTCACTCAGAAAAATTCTTTTAGAGAGAAGAGAGAGGATGCAGTTGTTTCACTGGAGGAATGCTGTAAGTTAAACTCAAGTGATGACAAAAGTAGGGAAATGGACAGGGAGTGCTGCACTGCAAATGGATCAGAAGATGCTTCTCAACAGAGTTTTTCTAATGACCTTGAAACATGTGTTTCTAAAGGAGGAAAAATAGATGATAACTGGGAAGCTTTCCAGAACGTTCTGATGACAAATGGAATTGCAAGTGTGAAGGGAGTAGAAACTTATGCCTCAACCCCTGCCGTAGACTTGGAATTGGAGGAAGTTCTGAAGCACCAAATGGTTTCAGCTGATTCCTTTGTTCTGAAGGAGAGGGATGAAAAAAGTGAGAATATAGTGAAGTCAGATGATTTGGTAAATGAAGAGAGTTTCTGTCCATTGATGAAGAGCAGTAACTGTGCAGAAGAAATTTTATTCAATCCAAGGAGTCTGGAAGAATCAACAAATGAACTTGGGGATACCCTGTCTACGTGTGTTAAGGAATCGTCAAAAATCAAGTGTGGAAAGGGAGAAGATTGGTTCGTTGTCAATCACTCCAGGAAACAAGAAAACTAGGATTCAACCAGTGGGCGGATATTATTTGATGGGTATCAGATTCTACCATTTGAGGGTGATCACTTGTACCCTCAGAAGAGTAGAAGGGACATCATTATTGATGATTGATTCATGGTACACTCTCAACCAGAGCTTGATGGTGAATATAATTTGCAATGGAAAACAGAAATAAGTATGATTGCAGACCTAACTTCAGCCTGCAAACCAGAAGATGGCACTACAGATGTTTCACAAGTTAAGCACAAAGTACTTGGTTCCTATGAGCCAGATGACCTTTACATGGTGCTTGGACAGGATGCTGGATTTGAGTCTGCCAGAAATTCCATGACCTTGGACTATGGAATTGACATATCACTCACAGAAGCTAATGGAAGAAGCACAGATGTTGAAGCCAGGGAATATGAGGAAAAGAAGCTTCCTTCTGATGGTGAGAACACCACTGTCAAGAACAATGATTACTGCAGAACAAAAAAGCCAATCAAAGAAGCAAGGTCCAAGGTGTTACATGGGTCCATTGTGAAGGGCAGAGCTGAAACTATATCTAAGAGCCAGAAACCTTCACCTCTTGTGACTAGGGCCAGACTTCAGAACAGTAAATTGGAGAAGGAAGTGATTAACAATTTCTTAAATCTAAATTCTTAGATATCCCTTCCTTCCCTTTTTCTTTTGCATTTTAAGTTTCTGACTGATAGAAGATGCTAAGAGATTCGTAAGAAGATGGAAGAATTATTAATTCAACGGCAGAAAAGAATTGCTGAGAGAACTGCAGCTGTTGGTTATGCTTCTGTAGTATCCAAGAAAACCATATTAGAAAGCAAAACAGCTAAGAACCTACTCAAGTCTGACAAGAAGATAATTCTTTCCACTGCTTTAACAACAGTGAGAGTGAGTGCTGGCAAACTTAGACCCCTTTAAGAGAGAAATCTTAGACACAATGTGTTTTCTGGATATCTCTTACATTTCTGGTGTCCTCATTAAATTTGAGGATAGAAATCAAGGAAGTTATTATAACACTGCAACATCTGGTTGGAAGCAACCTATGCCTTACAGGTTTTACCCTTTATACTCATAACTTCAAAATACAGCATGTTCTACTGCTTTTTTTTTTTCATAGGTACTAAATAAGCTCATAAGCTCATAAAGAGTATAGCTGTTAAGTCATATTATTTGTAAATTTTTTTTCCTCCTTTCCATTCGTTCTATACCTTTGGATGTTGAGATACACCATTTGTATCAGAATAACTCCCAGAACTTTGGTTTTGGAAATTCTATAAGTGACTGCCAATATCACTCTCAGCTCAGCTCATGATTTTTTGTCACATTACCCCATAACAAATTCTGAAACACAACAAATTCTCTGCTGTACGTTTGCAATCACTCTTCCTCCCTCATACATCATAGAAAAGCTACATCTGACTTTTGCATAATAAGAAGCAACCCAGATCAACTGATGAATGCAGATATAAATATTCTGTTTCAAGAGGATTCGCCAATCTAATCTACTCTTTTTTCAATACTAAGTTGAGGTAGTCATGTTCACCAGCTGATATATAATTGAAAAAGAATCATACTCATCCACCGTCAAAAAACTTACTAAATTTAGAATGATAGCATTAAAGGAACCAAGTCAATCATGGGTTTGAACTTTTTATGTATAGGTACAGATAAACAGAGAAATTATATGCAATGTCAAAACATCATAGGAAATGGGAAACCTTTGAAATGCAAAATACTGACTTTTTTTGTTTTTGGTTCAAGAGGATAATGTAAAGTTAAATATAGTAAAGAAACTAACAGAGGGAGGAATAGGAGAATTCTGTTGTATTACAAGAGAAGCAAATCAAATCGAACCACCAAACTCATCATACACAAACACAAACTAAAAAGCTTTTATCCTTGCAGTTTAGCTGGCAAGAAGTGGTTGATTTGAACTGTTTGCCGTTGTAAAAAAAAACAAAAACAAAAACCTTGCCACAAAAACGACACACACAGAATTAAACAACCTTTGGCTGCATTTCTGCTATGATAGGTACCATAACGCATGGGGTGCCTCCATTGAAGACCCTTCTCTTCTGTTCTTCCCAGAGAAAGTTCCAAATGTAAATAAATAAATAAGTGCATGATTTCTTTGTTTGGTTGGGATTCTGTCTCTGCCTGGACATCTTCCCATTTGAGATTTTGATTGTTGTTTTTTCTTCTGTTTATTGTTGCAGGACCTGTTAGATGTTTTCATGGTTTTTCCATGCAAAATGGTTTTCTGCTATCCTCGGCAACGTGATCTTCATCATCACGCCATCACAGCGTTTTAATTTTGGCCCTGGACGGTTCAGGTGATAATGCCGTCAGGTTGCTGTGTCTTCCCACCATTTTTCTTTGGTCGCAAGATTTCCAAATTGCAGGTATTGTTCAGAATCAATTTCCTTAAATTTTTTTTTTTAATCTTTTTTTCACCCTTTTTTCGGATTGACCTGGGTTTTTATCAGAAAACCTGAGACTGTTGAATCTGCAGAGAATTTGTCTCTAATTGCATGAGTCCCCAGAACACTCAGAAATGGGAGTTTCTCTGGATATTAGGCAACCATTTTAGACGGGATTTATGTATGTACTGCAAATCCATTTCATAAATTGCATTTTCCAGTTCTTTCCAAAACCTCTTGGGGTCTCTCAAATGATTTCGATGAAACTTTTCCACTGTTGGGGATTATGGTTTTCTTTTTGAATGATTGCACATGATGTTGCAGCATGCTAATGCTTTGAATTGCAGAAGGAAACTTTGATTTCTCTATGATATTATGGATTATACCAACATCTTGGTCTGAATTTTCATTAAAGAACAAATCATGGAGAACAAAACTGCTATTTTGAAAGACAAGTTCTTCTTCTTTAGCTGCAATAGGCACTGATTATCAAAAGAAAAATGTTATAGGCATTGACGAGTGATTTGAAAGGAAATAATCTATGCAGATGACTAGGAAACCTATATCATCCAAGACTAAAAAAGATGGGGAAAGCATAAATAAAGACGGTCTATCTCAACCAAAGGATCAAAAAGAAGTGAACTGCACACTAAGAAGGGTTAACAGTTCATCTCGGCACATGAACCTGAAAGAATCAAGAGACTTGGAGAAAGAGTCATGTAGACACAAGAGTCAGAAAGGTTTGACAGAATTCAGGAATCAATCACGTAAAGCCACCGGTAATTTCATTTTGATGATGGAACTGAAGAAGAAGATCCTTGTCTTTAGAGACCTCATTGACCTGTCACCTTGCAATGGCTCTACTTCCGTAGAGCAGGTATCAAATTTTCTGCAAAAGCTGCGTAAACACCTTCTCTTGGTTTTGTTTCAACATCTGAATTTTCCTCTTCTACCTGCAGCTTATGATATATACAATGAAAGATCTCCACAAGCTCTACCCTGAAACCGTACCCCACATCAGGAAGTCAGAAATGAAGGGATTACCTCTTCATCAGGTTTCCAACTTAATTATTCAAAGATTTGGCTAATCATAGCTGTTGAATGTTTGTTTATGGCTTTGGGAATCCTATGCTAATGACTACAATGAAATGCTGAAACAGGTTGTAAGGCACTTTTGCATAACACTGGAAGCTATAGGAGATCCATCAATGATGAGATATGACTGTGACGGTAGCCAGCACGACAACTTTGAGAAACAAGGTAACAAATCTTCTTTAAGATGTGGGATATCAGTCTTTGTCTTAACATCGTGAAATCCAAAGAAAATAAATTTGACTGAGGGTGATGACGATCAAGCGCTTTTGGGTGCTTCTTTTCCTTCTTCCGCTGTACTCTGAGAAACCAAAGAAGAACCACGATTTTGAGATTCTTTATTCCTAACTGAAGTTGAACATGGGATTCTTATTTTCATTTCATGATTTCTTGGTAGCTGAAACTGCCGTGGCATTACTTGATAGCTTGATGAAGATGGCAAGAGAAAAGTTTGACATGGTAGATGAAGATGAAGAGAAGAAAGATTTGGGTGCAAAAGCTAAAACGTTTGGAAAGGTCTTAACGGATTCTTATTCAGACAATAGCTCCAGCTGCTCTTCTCCAGTCACGCCAACGTCAGTCCTTCCAGAAATGTTAAATGGTTCTCCGAAATCAGGATATTCTTCACCTCTTCTCTTATCTCTCAGACTGCAAGCAGTGGGGAAATTGAACCCAATTGATGTGAAGCGATTTGCGTTTCACATGCTATCCAATGTTGGTGTTCAAAAAATTTTGAGCCAGAAGAACATAGTGATAGAGGAACAAGATGCAGAAACAAAAAGCACTACAGAATTGATAGAGTCCTCCTTTTCTGATGAGACCAGAGATGCCAGCGCTCTAAATGAAACACCAATTCATCCAATTTCTGCAACTCCAGGTACAAGTCCTATGCTCTCAGAAACAGAAGAAGCTACAGAGTTGCCATCAACGCCATCTTCACCATCAAAATCACCACTTACCTTAGCTGCAACACCTTCTCCATCACAGGAATCCATGTTGATAACAAACATGGAAGTGGAAGTAGCAGTACCAATAGCAAAAGATGCTTCATCACCAAACCCACCAGAACATCCACCCAAGTTATCCATAGATATGGAATTAAAAGTGACATCACCAGTTCCACCACCCTCAACTTTGCCCCCAAATGTAACGGCAGCAGGGCTACCATTGCCACCACCACCCTCAGTATTTCCCCCAAATATAACGGAAGCAGGGCTACCATTGCCACCACCACCCCCAACTTTGCCCACAGAAGCAGGGCTACCATTGCCACCACCAACCCCTCCAATGTTGCAGCCAAATGAAGCGCCAACAGGACCCTTGCCATCACCACCCTCTCCAATGTTGCTACCAAGTCTAGAAGCAATAGGACTATCACTGCCACCACCACCCCCAATGTCTCAGCCAAATGCAGCAGAGGTAGCTGCAGCAAAACCATTGTCAACACTATCCCAATCACCCCTGGGGTTGCCAGCAAGAGGACCAACATCGCTGCCCCCACTACCTCCACCAACAGGATCTGGGGCACCACCTCCTCCCCCACTGGGGTCCGCTGCTCCAGCAAAAGGTCCACCCCCACCCCCGCCACCAATGGGAACAAAAGGCACACGACCAGGTGCAAATAGAATGGCACCGCCACCACCTCCTCCTGGTGGAAGATCCTTGGCCGTAAGGAAGCCAACAACTAAATTGAAGAGATCAAGCAATATGAGTAATCTGTATCGGGTACTCAAGGGAAAAATAGAAGGAAAATCTCAAACAGGTAAATTACGCGGGAGAAAGGCCTCAGTTGGCAGCAGCGCCCCTGCTGGTGGAAAGCAAGGAATGGCTGATGCCTTGGCAGAGATGACAAAGAGGTACATTCATCAAGCAACTCTACTAAACAATTAGCATTATTTCATCTGCATGGAATTTAGTTCAAGGATATGTGATGAAAATTTGTAAACCATGTATATAATCTGTCATATTCTCCTCTTCATGTCTTAGGTCAGCTTACTTCCAGCAAATCGAAGAAGACGTTCAAAAGTATTCAAAGGTGATCACAGAGCTGAGATCTTCCATTAGTAGCTTCAAATCAAAGGACATGATTGAGATGAATGAGTTTCATAAACATGTAGAATCTGTTCTTGAAAGCTTGGCAGATGAAACACAGGTTGAGTCCTGTGAATTTTATTTTTTAGTTTTTTTTTTTTTTTTTTTGTGGTTCCCAAGGTCAAAATGACAAAGTGGTAATAAGAAGCTCAATGAGTGGCTAATTGCTTTATATATATATTTTTTTTTTTTTTTTTTTTTTTTGTGGTTCCGAATGAGCTCGCTAGTTTCGCTTGTATTTGTTTCCGTTAACAATGATTTTATTGCTTGGATATCATGACCAGGTGCTAGCAAGGTTTGAAGGCTTCCCAACAAAGAAGTTGGAAGCTTTAAGGACAGCAGCGGCACTATACAACAAATTAGAATCAATAGTCAATGAACTAAAAAGCTTTAAGGCAGAGCCTCCCGTCGAAAAACTCCTTGAAAAGGTGGAAAAATACTTCAGCAAGGTAAATTCACGAGTCTATTTCGAGTTCCATTTCCATTCATAAAAACCTGAATTGTGCAAAACCAAAATAATCTACAGATGAAACTAGAAGTAGATGGATTGGACCGAACCAAAGATGAAGAGGGCAAGAAATTCAAGAGCCACAATATCGAATTTGATTTTCATATGCTAGTAAGAATCAAAGAAGCAACCGTGGATCTTTCTTCCGACTGTATGGAGTTGGCATTGAAGGTATAATTCAATTCAAATGTCTAATATAAAAGTAGTTATTTCTCAATCAATTTAAGGAAGTTGGCATTACATATAAATTTTCTTTCATTGGGGCTGAGTTCAGGAGAGAAAAGAAGCTAAGGCAGAAGCAGAACAGGCAGGAGGAGCTAGCACAAAAACTGAAGCACAAAGAAAAGGAAGTGTTACAGTTCTATGGAAGATTTTTCAGTTTGCATTTCGGGTTTATACCTTTGCAGGAGGAATTGATGAACGTGCAGACAGGCTAACCCGAGATATAGCTCAAGAAATTGAGAATGATCCTCAACACCTTTCTCTGGCATCCTAAGATATTGTTTCCTTTGTTTCTGTTAATTAACTAGCAAATAGTTTAGTACTGCTTCTATTAAGGAGTTTCAAGCAGGCTTTGGAGGAACTATATTAAGCTCCATCCACCTAATATTGTGAGATATGATTTTAGGGCTTTAATTTGATCCTACTGCTTTGGTGATGAACCATTTCATAATTTATGTAAGACTTACACGTGTTACACTTGAATACTAATTCTTTAAATGCTAATTTTTAAAAAATTACTAAAAAACCCATAATCGAACATAATCAATCCGTTTTATTAACTCACATATGAATGCAAAGTGATTTCAATCATGATGATCAATCTCGGGCAAACTCAATCTTGATGCCACCAATTCTAACGGCACCATACTTAGGCACCAAAGTCACAATAACACTATCATCATCCTCAGCCCCCAAATCCTCCAACAAATCCGTTATCCCCAGCCTCAAACATGTTTTCGTCTTCTTCCCATGCTTATGCTTATGAGGAACATTCACGAAGCTACCGGCAAACTCTGTCTTGTCCGGTCCGCTAGGCCCGTCATCGTCCTCATCGTTCACATACACATCAAATTTCACTGAAGCGTTCCTCTCAAACTCTATGTTCTCTATAACCAACACTTCTTCTTCCTCTTCCTTTTCCTTCTTACTCCTTGATTTCCTCGGCCTCGCCACATCGAAACTCACCGTTTTGTCCAGAACAACGGGGAGTGCTGTGGTTTGCTTGATCTGTCTCTTTATTTCTGCTGCATGGGCAACCCCAAAAGACTTGTTTACCTTCTGGATGAACTTTCGAGGAGTTGGCTTCGTATTCAGCCATGGAATATCAACATCTTGATATTTATATCCCAGCTTTGTTGTGTCAAGACAATCTCGTACCTTGACACGTACAAGGTTTGCATTCTCGTCGTAAAAGAGGAAAGAGGAGTCTAGCCAATCCGGATCAGTGAAATCGGTTCGCTTCCCTCCTAGTGTCTTCCACACGGTCCACATTCGGTCGACGTTCGAGTGATGAGCATAGAAAATAGGGTCTCTGGCAGCGGAGTAGAAGTTTCCCATGTCTTCCAGATTCGGCTGCGTGTTGTCACCACACCATATGTGAACCGGTCCATGAGGGATGTTCTCGAGCGAACCGGCGCCCGGATCCGCTTCATCACCGGCTCGGTAGGAACTTCCTAGGAAAAGCTTGGGAGTCTTACCGTTGGACACCATTTGCCTGTACATAATCTTGAGATTACTTGACAACTGATCGCTATTGGTAGTTGTTTCATCAGTGCCGTTGTAATCGAGATCAAGCAGGGTCGGCGGTTGGTGATTGGCGTTCCGGAGCTGATCATAGAGTGGAGAGTTGGGGTTTGAAAAAATAGTAGGCATTTGCATGCCTTGTGGAGAATCCCAGTTCCAAAAGGGCATAGCAAAGGTTGGATCGCCAATTAATTTTCCCAAAATCTTCTCATAAAAGTAGAGATAATACCTGCATACCAAAGGAACCAAAGAATAGCTTAGCTCAAATTTATAAAAATATGATTACACATGTAAATACAAGACAAACATCCAACTTAAAAAGTAATATTTGACTAAAGATGGAGTAATCCACTCCAACTTAATTAGAACAAATTCATCTTATATCTAAGTGTTAAAACATTTTACCTGTGGAAGGGAAAGAAGAGCCATGAGTTGTGAACTTGGAGATCAAGATCAGGAAACCCTACTTGATGGTAAGCACCATCACAATAGGCGCAATGAACATTTGCTTGTTGCGTGAAGTTACGTGGATCATCGGCGGGAAGAGCTTTCATGAGCTCAATGGCCTTGGAATATTTAGCAATGTAGTCACCATTCACTAAATGCGCGGCCGGTCTAACCCGTAATGGGGAATTCGAAGAGGGTAGCTTGAAATCCAAAATATTAGTGGACGGTGGTGGGCAACAATTAGTAGGTTTTGCACCTTGAGGTAGATCAGCTTTGCCACATCTAGCCAGGTCTGGGGCCGATATTGGAGCTGCAACGGCAGCAAACCGATCATTGCTAAGGCCAGTTGCAACACCAAGCCCTCCTAGCCCGATGAGAACATCTCTTCTATCAAACTTGTTTAGAGGAGGTTCTCCAAAGTCACCATTTGTGGCCTTGCATGATACAACTCTAGGGATACTGAAATATGGTTTGTTCCGCTTTCCAATTACGGAAAGTTGGGAAGACGTCTTCGGAAGAGTGGTGGGGGTGGAGGCAGTGGCGGTGACCGGCAGTGGATGAAGGAAAGAAGTCATGGTTTGGTTAATGTTGAGACACACCATTACATCATTTTTTATAATGAACTAAAGGAGACTTTTCTTCAGCAAATCCAGGCCACGTGGGGAAATAAACAAATATCATAATCAGAACTCTCATTGGAACGTTGAATCTCGACATATTACGTATAAATTATAAAAGCCTTAAATGTTGCAGAGTACTTTGCAAAGAGAATTTGTGCATCTCGTTTTTGACCTTTGAAATTTTGTATCTAAGTTTTGACATTTTAATTTACTGGACCCAAGAAGAGCATAATGATTGCACGAGATCTCACAGGTCATTCGGTTGGTGATTCAATATTTTAATAAAAATTTAAATTTAAATTGTAATATTATTATGCTACAACTTCTCATCTTCTACCCTCAAATTGCATCAGTGAAAGAAAAAAATAGAATGATTAGGTTGGATGACCTTCAAAATGATGGTGAGGGATGAAAAATTAATTTCTTATTAATTACTTATATTAATTTATTGTTTGATTCAGTCTATACATTTTGGTTACTTCCAAGATTGGTTTAACCTAATCCATTATTTAACTAATATTAGGTTAGAAAAGGGTTTGGGCGGCTTCATGACAACATGGATGACATGGTCACTGTTGTATCAACATTTTTTTTTTATCATCCAATTAAATGAAATTTGTATCAATCCGGAGTATATGTAATATTCTAAATCAAAATAACATTATTTGTTCACAGAACCTAATTACATCACAACATTTTATATCTTATTCATGGATATAACTGGGATGGCATTCACTTTTCTTTTTAAATATGTAATGTATTATTCCTTTCAAATTAATTCTCTTATATCAACCTTCATATATTCTAAGCCAACTAATTCGTAATATCGCATTTCATTGGATAACGTTATTGTTAACAAATTCTCACAATGATTTATAGACATAATGGTTTCAATACAAAAGTTACCTAAATATTCCTCCTACCTAGAACCCTTTATAATTATAATAAAAAATTCTCACAATAAGATATGATAGTATATAGTTAATTTTTATTAATTATAATAAAAAAATAAACTGTAATTTATTATATGTGGCTTATATTTCACTTAATTATTGATAAAAAAAATAAATCTATTAAAATTAGGATCTATCCTCTATTAATAGCTAATCATTTTACAATTTATACAGAACAGACTATAAAATAATATTCTATTATATTTATATAGTAAATTATAAAACTAACATTATATTTTATATGTATTTACTTGTTAATGTCATGTGACTTGCGATGATTTATTATTAAATACAACAAATTGATTTCATAATTAATATATGTTTAATGAATAGGGATCAACTAGGAACGTTATCGACTACTTAAATAAGTTTAACTTCAAAAGATTATAAAGAATTGCAGGTGTTGCTCAGACTTTTTATTAAAAAAATAAATTTCTGGCTCCAACTAGAGCAAGTGGTTAACCACTTGCTCTTTAATAGAAACATCACCCGATCGAGTTTGGTGTTTGACACCTCAAGATCCCTTTTTCCCGTTCCCAGAGCAAGGTAAGATTATTTGTTAACAAAAAAAAAAAATTGCTAAAATTCAGAAAAAAAAAA